AGGCTTACCTGTGTCGATGAAGAAAGGCTTCTTTGTCGGGGCATCGCGTCCAGACTCCCCCGATCTGCCGACAAACAGCTGATCGGCAGATCGGGGCAGCCATTTAAATTTAAATGAAGCCGCGATTATTTTAATCGCGGCTTCATTTCCCTCTGCCGATCTGGCTAATCTACATGCCTCCGTCGAAGGAGGCATGTAGTCTAGACACACCCCAAGGTATTTTTGCCTCCCTCCATCCAGAAGCCATGTTACTCTGTCAAAGAAAGATATTAAGTTGTCATGACATGATTTAAAAACCAGTAGTCCTGTGGCACCTTCGAGACTAACAAAAATATATAGAGGATCATGAGCTTTCATGGGTAAAGCCCACTTCATCAAATGAGTTGTTTCTACTCCAACTCATCATGTACCACAATGCCCAGAAATACACCAACACTGTTTGCATAAATAACTTTGCATTCAGTAGTATCCTTTCAGATGTATTGAACAGGGTATCCCTGCCCCCTCTGTTCTCCTCAGTCCTCATGTCTGAAATAAATGACACCAATCTTTTTGCTCATGATTATCATTTAAACACTGAAATATTCAGTTAAGTCATTGACCTAAGATTTAATGGTAGTATTTGAACCTGATACATTGTCCCTGGCAGATCCTTAAGCCTTGCCAGATTTTCCTGAGGGATTAAAAGCTGAAACTTAAAAAGCTCATTTCAGAATGTATGGATCAAATTCTATCAAGGACATTTGGTTTGCATTGGGACAAGGGGGCGGACAGAATTGCCGGCCCTCTGGGCAAGGTGGGGAGAGACCCAACTCCGCTATTGTGAAACAGGAAGGGAAGAAGGGGCAGAGCTGGGGCAGCCAGCCCTCAGCACTGTCCAGACCAGCTCTTTGCACTGCCCAGAGAGTATCGCCTGTTGTTCCAGCAGTAGTTTAAACTGCCTAATGTGGCAGTGGTGTCTCGAAGCCTGGGCCCTTTTGAATTGCCAGGCTCTGGAGCAGTTGCCCCCCTGCCCCATTTCCATCAGTGAACCTGATTAAGGATCTGCCAGGGACAACGTATCAGATTCATCAAAGACTATTATCTGCTCTTAATTACACTGATTTCAAGGGAGCTGCATGTATGTAACTGGTGAGAATCATCCTTGGTTTAAGATGCCAATATTTTCCATTATTCTAGGTTAGATAAATGGGATTTCTATTTCAAATCAGTCTAACAACTTTGAAACTTTTACATTTATTGAATCTGGAACATGTGTGAGTTGTTGCTTCCATATCTAACACAGCTGTTTAAAAAAGAAATGTATCAGTTGTAACTGTTTGCCTGTAGTTCATCAAGTAGCTAAACATACAGCAAGAAAGCCATCTATTTGAAAACAGAAGAACAGACTGTAGCTTTCTGATATCGCTGACCTAGTATGTCTCATGTTAGTTCTGCGTCCCATCTGCTACATCCTATACAGAGCTGGGACATGAAAATCAATATGAGAAAGATATGTGTTTTATCAATGTGAGATATATGTGTATGACATAAACACTAACAGGAAGCAGGAAACACTACAGGAAATTGGTGCTGTGATTTCTTGACTGGTTACCAGCTGCACTTTGTTTAATAATCGTGTGGCCAGATCCTGCTCTTTTTTTTACACTGGAGTACATCTGAACTAATTCCATTGTACATCTGAACTAATTCCAGTGTAAATCTGAAATAATACAGTTGGATTCAATGAAGTAACTCCAGAGTAAGACCAGTGTAATTATGGGCTTCTTGTCTATGTTTGAGGCTTTTCTAGGC